ACAATAAGCTCTTCTAGGAGTTTTCTCTCTTGGCTCTAGGCTCTGAATTGCCACTTCCTCACCCCTGGTTAGTGCTGGCCTTATCTTGCAAAAAGGCCACTCCTTGGATTGGGCTCCTTGTGCTCAAGGCTGGAGCTGCTTGAGTCACTGACTACTTTCCTGTGTCAGGTGACCGATCCTTTTCCCTGTACTCCCCAAGTTATGACAGGAAATGGAACTGTAACAAGGGACCCACAAGATAGAACTGTACTCCTGAGGCTTTTATGGGGTGAGTAGACACTGAGTCAAGAAAATGTGGGATAGTCCTAGGTCTACTGAGCCTCAACTCTCAGATGAGTAGATCTAATACACATACATACACACACACACACACACACACACACACACACACACCACACACACACACACGATTAGATCCCTTGATTACTATAATATTAGCTGTATTGGCCTTGCCCAGCAAGATTTAAAATCCCCTCCAAGTTTTCATCAAAAGAATCATAAAAATATTTAAATTCATCAACTATCAAATTCCCCCCCTCAAAGGAGTAAGTCCTGGCCACCCTGAGTCTTTCCCAAATCCACACCACCAAGAGCAACCTGCCACCCTCACCTTCTACTCACTGTCACATCTCACTTCACACTGGAATCCCCTGGGGAGCTTTTGCATGCCCCAGTGTCCACATCCCATCTAGACCCACTCATTAAACCAGAATCTCTGGGATGGGACCCGGGTAGCATTTCACAATTCCCTTGTGCAGTTAAAAGTGAGAGTCACAGACAAATTGGAGAAAAATATGCTTATGACACTAGGAAGGGAAAGTCAAAAATCTAAAAGGAAAGTAACGGGGTGCAGGGGTCCACACAATGGCTTTAGAAGCCAGAAGGGGCTGCTGCCCTGGGATGCTCACTTCCTCCCCTGCCCCCAACCCTTCCAGAGCCCTATGGCAGTGGCAAGCAGTCACTGCAAAGCCGACGAGGGCTGTCTCGTGCTTCTACCCAGCTAATGATTGCATCTTCCTAGGGCTCGGGCACCTTCTTAGCAGCCTTCTTTCAAGCCACATTCAGTGCAGACGTGAAGGGGGCAGGGCAATGCGTGTGTGAAACAGGCTGCTCAGTGAGATGGAACGCAGTCCTTTGTATAGGGAAGCTAGATGTAGTGGTTAATTTCTTAATTCTCATCGCCATTCGGTTCACGGGAGACTTCTGGAATGTCTTTATCCATCACAGATGGTTTAGGAAGATGATAAATTAATATTGTTATCAATGGAGGCACGGCTGAAATGGTTAAATAGCAACGTCTTCTTTGCAAGCTCTAAAAAGAAAGAGCCTCCAAAGTCCATAAAGAAGACAAATGGTAAACAAAACCTCCTATCTTTTGACAGATTCCAGGATGAGTATCATTCACAAACCATTTTGCAGAGAAAGGGGAGAAATTCATCTCCTCTGACTTTGTATAGGACAACAGCCCACACCATAATGAGGCTGGCCCAGCGCTGTGAAATCGCGCTGAATAGCCTAGAGTGCAGCGGCCTGTTCCCTGGGCATGTTTATTACAGCTCTTTGTATGCACCAACCCTGCCAGTCCCCGCTTGCTTCTAAGCTAGGGGAGGGGAGAAAGACCCCAACAAATTTGTTGCTATGAAACTTCCCAAATAGGGAGACTGCATAATAATGTTTGGAATTAAATGCCCTCTCTCCAAACTGTTCTCATCTGGATCCACCCCTGCTCAACACTGAACAAGGTCTTGAGCCAGCCAATCACCAGCAGTGTATGGGTGGCCTGGGCCCCCTGCCTGCCCGCCCCCCAGGCCCTGAGGAGTCAGGGGGTAAAGAGGGCCCCATGGCCGTTCCCCAAGTCAACCTGGGAGTCCAGAGCCATTTGTGAAATAAGTGTAAAACAAAGCCTAGAAGAGCAGCCTTCCCTAAAGGTCTAGGATGGAGCTCCCGGAAGGCAACCTCAGAGAGGCTGGGGAGGGAGTCATACCTACAAGATCTGAAAGCCTCTGTGAGAAAACTGCCAAAAGAGCACAAAGCTGTTGGGCCAATGAGCTTCCTTGCAAAGAAGCATTGCTTAAACCACATGGCCTTGGAAGACACCACAAAAAAAAGTTTCCATGGCGGTAGCAGAGGGATAGAGGTTTTGAACAAGAGACTCAAAGGCACACCGCCCCTTCCCCCACCTCCCATCCTTGCTACCCAGCATCTGAACTTCTAAAGCTGCTTCCTACCCAGAGCTCCAGGTCTCTTTTTAACAAGAAATGTCCAAAAGGAGTATTCAAAGTTCCCACACCCCTAAGGAGGTGAGTGAGGAAAGGGAAGAGTAGCTGATAACGATCTGGAACTTTCAAGGGATACCTTTTCCACCAATCAGATTGCTAGATCTTTTGGTCACATTTTTGTGCCTTAATCAGAGAACAGATTTTTCTTAGCAATCTTGAAGCAAGGCCCCTTCAGGTTATCTGTTTCCTCAACAATTGGGGTGCAGGATCTAGAAGCATTCTCTCACCAGCCCAGACTGTCAGATTCCTTGAAACTCTATCTTTCTTACTCAATCAAGAGATACTGACACCCCCACCCCCACCCTGCAATACACACACCCTTATCTGCCTCTCCCTGACCAGGATCCATCCTTAGCTTTTCCTTTCGCCCAAGTTCCTCTCCCAGGGGTTCACACCAAGGTTGGGGACAGCTGGTATCCAAGATTGAAACTAAAGACAGGCACCTGCATTTGAAATCACAGAACAGGAATACCTCTCATCTGCCTGGATCTGTTCCTCCCTAGAAACCAGCATCTGGGGAAGCTGAGCATCTCTACCCCAACACAAAAACTGGCAGGGCAGGAAGTAGCCAGCATCCTTCCTCACAGAACATAGACCTTCTTACCCATGGGCACAGGACTGCCCACCAAAGTGGCTGCTATGTGTTAAATTTTCTGGCCAAATCTGTGAGGCCAGTTGTTTATAAGATCCTGGCTTCCATCTCTTCTGCAAAAGAGATAGAAAATGCAGTGGACACAGCCATAGGAAAGGAGTACTTTCCAATTATGTTCTCTGGAAACCCAAAGCTATCTCCCTAGTCTTGCCCTGCTCACACCTTTCTGACAGTGTGGCCCTTCCTTGGGCTTATTTCCTGGGCCACCTGACCATTCTGAAAGTCTCTTGGAGGCAGTCTCACCTGAAACTATTGTCTTTTTTGTGAACCCACATACATGTAGGCAATACACTCATACACATAAAATAAAAATAAATGTGTATGAGTGTTTTGCCTGCATGTATGTAAGTTCACCATGTGAGTGCAATGCCTATGGAATCCAGAAGAGGGTGTTGGATCCCCTGGAACTGGAATTATAGATGTTAATGGGTGCTGGGAACCAAATCCTGGTCCTCTGCAAGAGCAGTGCTCTTAACCTGATGAGGCTTCTCTCCAGCCTCCCTCGCCCATCTTTTGGAATATGGAAAAAGCCCAGCTACCTGTATACCTGAAAACTTTCTCTTGGCAGCCAGCAAGGGCAACCAATAGAAGGAAAGCTTGCTTGCATATTGAGAGCACCCAGTGCTCTTAACCTGATGAGGCTTCTCTCCAGCCTCCCTCGCCCATCTTTTGGAATATGGAAAAAGCCCAGCTACCTGTATACCTGAAAACTTTCTCTTGGCAGCCAGCAAGGGCAACCAATAGAAGGAAAGCTTGCTTGCATATTGAGAGCGACCTCGCTCATCTGTGCATGTGGAATCCAGGAGACAGTCTACAAACCTGGTGGGGGTTTGTTGCTCTTCTTTGTTTTTTAGGAAGTGTTCTACACAGCTGAAGTGGCTCCATGATCAGAAGGGTACATACTTGGCTGAAGCCCTGTCATTATTACCTTGGAATTCTTTATCATTTCTGCATAAGAAGCCCTGTATTTTCATTTTGCACCGAGTTTATAAGTTATGTAGTCAGTCCTGCACACAAGTGTCCCAACAACTGGTGGCTTTCTGGCTATGAAGACGATACCTATGCTTCATTCAGAGGCTGAGTAGCAGCCTAGAAAGGTCCTCACCTGCACGATCTGCCGTGGCTTGGGATAAGGATCTCTAAAGGCCCATATCAGGACTATGTATGTTGAGCTGTGCCCCCAGGAGCCCTTGGAGATAAACATCTTGGGAAGCCCTGCTCAGGTACAGCTCTAGCCCTACGCCTCAACTTTGGAGCAAGAAAACCCTGGTCTTTGAAATTCCCGAAGGCTAATGTGGAGCAGGGGGACCCCATTTTTCACCTCCCCTACATTGTACTCATTTGCCTGGCATTTCAGCAGCTTCTCTGAGTCATCTGACCATTATTCATTTTTGTTGGTAGGAGAAAAACAAACAGCAGAGAGTTAAAACATTAGTACTTGCTTCAGTGAATGGAAATAGTCTCCTGTCTCCTTTTATTTTATTTTTTTTCCTGTTCTTGAGACATAGAGCTATTTGCAGATAGATTAAATGTTCCTAATCCTGAACCGGCCAACCTGCTGCAGCGCTCTCTCTCTCTCTCTCTCTCTCTCTCTCTCTCTCTCTCTGTCGGGGGCGGGAGGTGGGGATGAGAAGGGGGGCCGAGTGCACACATCCAAAGAAGTATGTCTGTGAAAGGTTGGGAAAAGAGGGTCCTTTGTCCTGACAGTAAGCCTGGCGAACATGACTCTGGACCCTCTGGTATGCAGCACACCTGGGCTGGGGAGGGAGGAAAAGGGGGAGGTGTTGGGGGGTGGGCCGTGCACCCTCATAGGAGATCACACCTTCTCCTTTCTTCTCCTTTGAGCCATGTCTCCATCACCCCTTTGTTTTGGCTTACACCTCCAAACACCAGGGTGTGTGTGTGTGTGTGTGTGTGTGTGTGTGTGTGTATGTGTATGATGATCTCGGTTTATTTTACTTTGTAAGGGAACTTGGGAAAAAAAAAGAAATAGGAAGGGAGGTGGAGGGAAAGAGAGGGAGCCTGGTGTCCTTGAGAGCCCCTGCTCCCTCCTCCCCAAGATAACCTACCTTTGCAGGCCTTCCGGTGGGTGATGGGCTTCCCCATGTCGCGGTAGAAGCCCTCCTTGCAGTAGTGGCAGTGGCGGCCTGCCGTGTTGTGGCGGCAGTTGAGACAGACGCCCCCACTCTTTCGTCCAGATAGCTTATAGAGCTCCATGTTGAAGCGGCAGCGGCGGGCATGGAGGTTGCAGTTGCAGGCTGCAGGGGAGACAGGGAGAGGCCATGAGCACAGGTGATGAGAGGACCAGTTCCCCCTTTATCCTTTATCTCCATGGCAGGATAAACCTAAGCTCTGGGAGCTTTTCCCTGGCTCCCTTGCTTGCACACATAAACATTGAGAACCTCAGTACTGTGGCTAAGGCTACCCCAAAATTCTTGTGTTGGAACCCTAACCCTGCCTGTAATGTAGACGGTATTTGAAGATAGGATCTTTAAAGAGATGACTATGTCAAAATGAAGCCTTTGGGCTGGGTCCTACTGCAATGTGTCCCTGTAAGAGAAAGAAATCTGGACATATAAAGTCACCCCAGAGGTAGGTAAGCAGAGAGTTAAGATCAGGCAAGGACACCAAGACCAGGCCATCAGCAAGCCAAGGAGAGAGGCCTCAGGAGAAACTAACTCTGCCCTCACTGCGACCTTGGAATTGCAGCCTCCAGAACTGGGAGAAATAAATGTGTCCAAGTCCCTCAGCTGAAACAGACCATACAAGGCTCCCAGAGCTTCCCCTTCAGCCATCCACCTGCACCTCTCTTTCTCCTACTCCTCACCCTGCCATCAGGAACCCTGGAGCCAACTGCCCCCTCTCCTTCCCACTTTCCAACACTGCAGAAGACCCTCAGCTTTCTTCTTGATGGCTCTTCTCCCTGCCAGGCCCACTTCCTTCCACTCCCTTGGCCTATGCACCTAGCTCAGAATTTAGTAGCTTTCTCCACCTACCCTGAGGCCCTTGGAGTCTATCTCCTGCCTCACACCACCTCTGTGCTCCTGACCTGCAAATCCTCATTTCCCGCTTCAAATCTGGAGTTTCCACTTGGACCCAGAGGTGCCTCCCTCACATCTACCCACTCCTCTCCATCTTGCCTCTGTCCACCTAGATCACTTGTATCTGCAGGATTCAACCAATTGTGGATCCAAGATATTTGGGGAGGGAAATTGCATCTGTACAGAAATGGACATTTTCCCCTTTGTTCAAGGCATTATAAGCCATCTATAGATGATTTTTAACAAGATGTGTACAGGAGGATGTGGAGAGGTTGGCATGCCATTTAACTGAAGGGACTTGGCATCCATGGCTTTTAGAATCCACAGGGGATCCAGGAGCCACTGCTCTCTGGATGCCAAGACCAAGATTTCTAAGTCCCAATCTGAGGGAGTTCAGAGGGATACAGTCAAAATAATTTAGTACAGCCTTGGGACTCTGAATAGGCCGAATCCCATCTCCCAGCTTTGGCTCTGCACCTCTCCACTCCTCCCTGCCTCCGTTGTTCAGAACTTTGGTCAGTTTCCAAACCATGCCAAGTATGAGGATGCTCCCCTTTCCCCTCCAAGGTTAGCATGTACTGTTCCTTTCCTCATGACACCCCTCTTCACCTAGCTGCAGCCTTCTCTTGGTCCGGGTGTGTGCTTTGGCATCATTTCCAAGCCCACCTCTACCCTTTGGTTGGCGGTAGACTCCAGCATGGCCCCATAGGGCCCTCCTCACCCTATACTATGATCACCGCCACCTGCATTCTTTGAGTTCCAAACTCTAGGGTACTGCCAGTACCACCTCCAACACATCTTAACCTACTTTTAATGTTTTACAATCATTTACTCTGTGTGTGTATTATGAATGTGTGTTTGTGTGGGGGTGTGCATGTGCCATGATGTGCATGTGGTGGTCAGATGGCTTTGAGGAGTGAGTTCTATCCTTTCACCGTGTAGGTTTCAGGGCTCGAACGCAGGTAGGTCATCATGTTTGGTGCTAAGTGCCTTTATTTACTGAGCCATCTCTCTGGGCCTTACCCACTTTTTAAAAAGCATGTATTAATTGTACAAAATAATGTGTATCACTGTGACATTTACATATATGCCTATGATATATGCATACTTTGATCATATCTACCTTTGCCCTGTTTTTATGCTAAGTGTCTTCTATACCATATTTAATGGAGTTTCTAAAGAAATGATGCTTAATGCCATACATTTCAAAACAAAAGCAGACCAGGAAAAAAAAAATACTTCTGTTTCCACTAACCACTGTGAAAACAGGGGCTTTCCTTTGTTGGTGTCTGCTCAGCTATGGGGCCTATTTAATTCTTTCTTACAAACGTGGACCATACCATACCTGTCTACCTCTAGCTTAGTAGCCTATTATTTTTCTAGAATGAACAATTTTTAGTGTCAAATATGGTTCAACATGTTTAAAGGTTGCCTTGTGGGTTCCTTAGTCTGAAATGGTTGTGTTGAACAAGCAGGATCCCCCAAAGCCAACCAGCTAGGCTGTTTTCAGTTTGTCACTGTTATAAAAAACACCAAGTAACCACCTTAAACCATCTTTGAACAAGCACATTTGTACTCTGCTCTGATTAATGTTGGACAGTACATTCCTCAAGGCAGAATTCTGAGTTAAATTTTGGATCTACATGCTTTTAACTTTGGATCCAAATCACCAAGTCACCCCCAAGGAAAGCTGAACTGGCCTGGTCTCCCACCAGCAGGATATGACAGCTCTTATTTTGTCATACCCTTGAAAAGAGTAACAGCACACATTTGGTATAGGCTTTTTT